CAAAACTAATGATTGTTAATTTATTAGAAAGAAATTCTGTTATGTCCCAACTACGATGTTAAGCAATCATTCTTAACTGAAAAATATTAAAACTTTTAACTATATATTATCTATTTATAACATTTATTATATATTTTATATAAACTTAAACAGTACAAGCTTTTTTATGTTTTCATTCCACTACAATTCCTTCACCAAAAGCATTCCATTTCAGTTTCTTTTTCATGAATTAGAATATTGCTTCATTCATGTAGGTTTTTAAAAGTCAGCCTCAATTAAATCTATTTTAATTTGCATATTTTTATTTCGAACTATTAACTTCTTTCTGAACAGATGTTGCTTGATTATAGTAAGTATTTGAAAGCGCATACGAACACAAATTGTTACTTTGCACCTTTGGCTTTGCGAGGGGATAAAAAGAAGTGCAGTCCTGGGACTACTCCGCAACTCGTTCGCGCACATTTTCAATAAATTTCGAGGTGGTGCTGACAAGCCGCAAAGTATGCTTTTAAAAGCACAAGTGTGTGTGTGTGTTTGTGCGTGTGTATGTGTGTGTGTGCCAGACGGCGGCAACAAGGAAAGCAAGGAACGCGATTTTTATCGCAATTCAATAGAGTTTCCGTTACATTACGCCACGGGTTTTGTCTAGCTGCGGAACTAACAGCGCCATATTTGTATCCGTTAAACGTGTCAACGTGTATTGCTTCCGTTTGTTGTTTGTTATTGGTTTTGTATTTGTGTACGTGTGTGTGTGTGTGTTTGTGCTTGTGTGCACCTTGGGCTTAGGGACGTAGTGCCAACTTTATTGAAATTTTATGTTGTCTACAATTTGGCGCTCGGATTTGCATTTTACGCTGATTTATGATCACAGGGCGATGCTTGTCTTAAAGCTGTTTAAAAAGTGGCGCAATTACAAGACCATTGGCAACCGCAAAATAATGTTTTTCCTTCTTTTTTTGGAGCACCTCCCCTGACACACTCATCCACTCACATACAGCCAAACTTTGTCATTCCATATCTGACGTCAAAGGGTTGGCTGCGGCTTATCTCTTGCCTGGCATTAAAAACTTTCTCGCTGGTTTTATTTTTCTTTGAGCTCAGCAATTGAATTAACGTGCGCTCTTTGCTGCAATGCCAATTTGCCCAAGAGTTGAGTGCGGGAGGGGGTGGGGGTTGTTGTTGATTATGAGGTAAGGGGGTTGGTACCTTGAGACTGCTCATTAGAATTCTGTTTTTACTTGGCAGTGTCTTGTGTTTGTTTACCTTTAAATTAAAAATGCAAAAATGCTTCAAGTTGAAGGCTACTACTGCCTAGAAGGGGGCGATGGGCGGGTGCCGCCACAACCACAACCAAAAACTGCTGCTAGCTGTCATTGCAACTTCACCGCTGTACCGCTGAATGTCTTCATCTTGCGACTACAGTTGAATTATTTATGGCACTTGCCGCCACAGCAGCAGCAGCAAAGGCAGCAGCAACAGATTACAAGATTAAATTATTGTAACAGGCGCATTACGTAACTACTTTGCATAATTTATAAAACGAAAATGCCACAAAAAATGCTACGCACAGCAGACGAAAGAAAACGCAACCAAGGCGAACAAATAAAAACATTCATCTTCAGCTTAAGACAGCCCAGAGCCTTGGGATGCCTTTCTGATGGTCTCCCAAGACGCATAGGTAAGTCTCTTGCTGGCATAGGTGACAGCGACCCACTAGGCGTATGCGCAACGTACAATTCCGTTTGCCACAATTTGTCACAAACTACACTCGTCAAAATTAATTCATTTGAAATGTAGAAAATATAAATTATTACAGATAGACTTCAAGTCTTTAAAGCTAAAGAAACTTCCCTTTAAACAAGATAATTCCTATTGTGACAAAAAACTGTACTTTAGAAAAAAGTGTGCTTTTCAAAAAGCTATAAAATTTATATAAGAATGGTTGATTTTGTGATTGTGATTTTGTTTCGAGTGTACAACCGCGGAGACTTCTTCGCCTTTTGGTGCAGGCGGCTACTGACTCTGCAACTTCAGCTCATTTGCATTTTAATTTATTTTTTTTCAACTGCCTTACAACGCAAGTGTCAACAAAACGCCGCAGACGCGAGTCACTTGCAGACGCCTCTGGCAGTGTCTTCGAGTACCTCCTTGTGGGAAAGGGCTGCAAGGTCGACGGCAGACGCCAGAAAAAGCCTTTTCGTCGTCTACCTCCACTTTGTTTGTTTGTCTGCAGTTTTCTTGGCGCACTTTTAATTGAGTCTTGCATATGCATGAGGAACAACAACAGCCGTCAAGAAAGTAGAAAAACAGCCGCAACTCAATTAAAGCAATTGCCTCAAAGTTCAAGACGACCCACAGCAAGGAAAAGAATATCCGGAAATCAATGCCAAATAGCAGCTGACATTGAAATGAACCCCCCACTGCAATATTAAAGTTCTATCGATTGCCGCGGCTATAAAATGCCAAAATTGTATGCCACATAAAATTATGAATAGCAACATCAAGAGAAGCAACCAACTTCGATTTGCCATAAAATGTCGTCGAACAGCGAAAACCAAAGACAATGGCAGAATTTATGATACCAACTTGTTGTGGTCGTTTCCCGCATCCCTGCAGCGATAATAATATGAAAATGATGCCACAATATGCACAAAATATGGCAACAGAAGCAAGTTAAATCGAAGCTTTCAAATGCTGGGATTGTGACAAGGGTATGGCGGTAATAGGTTTCACTGTCAATGCATTTTAAAGAACTGAACAACTTTGCTTTTAAGCTGTTTAAGTTAAGAAAATTAAACAATATGGTGAATACATTTCTTAATACATACAATTAAATCAATCTAGCTGCCAACTATCAGTTAAGGAATCAGCTCTTTTTTTATTAAAATTATCATTTCATTACGATGGTTATGTGTCTTTAGAGTTATGAATCAGTCAATTTTTTTTATATATTTAATCAAAGCTGTCGATGTAGAAAAAAGGCAATACTATAGAACACATAAAATAAAATTAGAGTGTAAAACAGTGTATAAAAATTACAATAATATCTAATAACAATTACGACTTGGAGACGCTATTAGACCTAACAAAAAGAAATAGAATTAATAAAAATAATAAATCAAAAACAGGTAAAAAAAACCTGATACACTCTTGTATATTAAATATATAAAGCAGAATTAATAAAATGTAAAAAAGAAGTGTATGATATTTTGTCATACTTGGAAAGCACTTGAAATATAATACAGAGCTCTGATTGACAAACACATCTTCAGCACATGAGCATTACAAACTCTAAGTTGGCTGTAAAGAATTCTTCTAAAACTATTATATGTTTTCAATACTATAATATCTTAGTAAAGTAAATCATTTGAATAGAACTAAATGTATAGCTCACAAATTCAAGCATGCTATGATTATTTAGTTGTCAAATAGCAAACGAATCGATTTAGGTGCGTAAAACTGAAATTAAGTTGACTTTAATAACTTATTTATCAAGTGCTAGTATGTACAATGTCAACAAGTCTGCTTCTTGCTTACATTTTCAATATTCTATAAATCGCTTTGTAGCCTATAAATTGTCGGACAGAAAAGAAAGCTAGAACTGCCAGACCAACCAGTCGTGCAACCATTATTACCTGTTGTGTCCCCCGACTGCATATACGTGTTCAGACCGTCGCGGTTACGGCTCATAATTTTTAAAATTTATGAACTGTAACCGAGTGTGTCTAGCCAGACGATGGTTGGGCAAAATGGTGACCAGCTTAGCTTGTTGGTAAAATGAAATTTTAATGCAAGGTACCCCGAGCCAGTGAGCGGTGAGTAAGAGCTGCACAGCAGCTGGGAACTGGCAGCTTAAAGCATTAAATATTCACCCTAACCTCAAGTCAAGACGCACACACACACGCGCTCAATGAGTTCTGGCTTTCCACACGGCCTAATTTAGAGACAACACTTAATTTGCAGCACGAGATAAATACCTTTTGTGGCTGATGCCTCCACCTAGCTGCCTATCTGCCACTGAACGCCATTGTGCCGGTTTACAGAACACCCCCTCCCCCCCTTCCCCACCCTGCCACTCGAGTCGTTACCAAGACACTTGGCACGCTCCCGAATTGCCACTTGAAGCAAATTGCCTGCCGCAAAACTTTGACGATGACACGGTCGCGGAATAATGACAATAGCTGTCTGTGAGCATTACCTGTCTGCCCTCCTGTCCCCAACCCAGACCCCGACTCCTCTGTCTGCCATAATGTCACAATGTCTGTCGCTTATCTTAATGCGCGACTCGAGTCGTTAATGTATTAATTTGAATTTCTTGGGAGTGGGCGGACCACTCCCACTCCCACTCCCATACAGGCCCATTGCAAATATGTTTGACATGCCAAATTTAGTGGAAAATTGTCGCATGTCATTCGACCAATATGCAAGTAGAAATGCGACGTGACTTTCTTGCCAAAAATCGCACAAACAGCCCAGGCAGAGGTGAGGTGGGTCTGTTTGGACGTACAATGCGACAAATTTGCTACTCCAAGCAAGTAGCATTAAGGAAAAAGAGCATAGAAAGAAAAGGCAGACGGCCGCCCTCGCAAGTTCTTCTGCAACAGAAAAATTTAAAAAACAAATCACACCTACTACGGAACTCTCGACTCAAACCCGCAAGACAAATTTCCGACATTTGTGCAGACATAGCTGGGTCGGAAGTGCACACAAGTTGCCTGGTTGCCTGGTCTCCGGGGTGCGAGGGTTCGCCGGTAATGGAGTGGACTTTATTTGTATTGTGCTGTACTCGTATGTTGCTGCATGTGGCAGTACCTTGTGGCACGCTTCGCCGGCGACGGACAACATTTGTCAAAAGGTCCACCATGCCTCATGTGTGTGTGTGTGGGGTGCATACAAATACATATAGAATATACTGTAAGGACTCTGTTGCTGAACTGAGCATCAAACTCATCGTTTCTTAACTGTCAGTCGTTTTTTTTGAACAAAATAAATTCTACGACTCACAATTTTTGGATAATTTGAAGCAAAAAAAAATAAAATCTACAAATGCTTTATAAAAATCGCAAATCACATCAAAGAAATTTGCAACAAAAAATTTACTAGTTAGAAAAAATTGGTTTGTTTCATTTAGATTTCTGGACACAAGCACAAAAACAAGAAAAATAGAACTGCCTATGGACTATATACTCGAAATAACTGAAGAGGCCAATCGCCAGCTAGCGAGTGAGGCGCAACAGACTCAGGACGGATGCAATGGGTATATCTCAATTTTTCGCATAGGAGGGGAGCCCATTCTGCCACCTTTGGTGAGAGAACAATCAACATATGTATTTAGATGAATCGTATTATATAGCTTGTGGGGCATGACAAAAACTAGAATCGAAAGTTGAACAAAACGAAGAGCTTCACTAATATTTAATTAGTTTCGTGCTTCTGCATCAGGGAACCAAACTTTGATAACAAGTGTCAGATAGTGAGCAAAACTTGGGTCTTTAGTTTCTGTTCATTCTGTCTGTCGCTCTCTTGCATCTGTTCCACCAACATATCGAGGGAAAAATGTTACTTCCTACTTAGACTGCCTCTTCTACGCCTTTTGAGTGTTAAAAATTGAAAAAACTTTACAAGTATCTCCATCCATAGATGACTCCTGAAAAACGTCTTGAGATGCAATCGTTTAAGCAGCAGGCCCTGGAAATTGAGGAACGCCTAAGAAATGAGCGAATGGAGCGGAACGAGACTTTTGCAATTCAAGTTCAGGAGACTACTGAAGAGCCCTGTCTGGTTACTTTGCTGACCCATGTGAATAGGTCGAGTCAACAGTCTCTGCCCCCCAGCCAATTCAAGGCCACACAAACATGCCGCCTCTCCAAGCAAAGAGAAGAGCCCGGAGAGCCTCTCAAGACCCCAGCGAAGCATGCAGCGCCAACGACCCCCTCTCGGGTTGTGGGCGGCGAGTGCTCGAAATTTGCAGATGCCAGCACAAATACGGAACTAACGCCTCTCATGATCGTCGGGCGCAACAACAACCAACGACTTCAACGTTCAGAGACTCTGATCTATGACAACAATAGTAATGCGATTATCAAACCGGTAAAAGAAGTGGAAAAACCGAAGACTGAGACCAAACAGCTGGTACTGGAAGATCAAACAGTGCTGTTGGCACGTTGTGCGGTCTGCCACAATTCTCCCCTAAAATTCGGCCTGCTTCAGACAACATGGGTGCACTCGTCACCAACATCTAAAGAGCCATGTAACCCGAATATATCGGAGAGACGCAGTACCAGCAAAGAGCTGAGAAAGCGGCCTTCATTGAAGTCAAATCCAAAACTCGACTCGGTAATACCGACTCCTTCCGAGCAACCTGGTGGCAGCAACTGTAAGAACAGCAAGCGCAATGAATCGCCAAAGACTGCAACGGAGTGCGGAAAGCGCTCCAAGAGCGCTCCAGCTAAAAAGCAGTCGGCAGCTGCTTTGGAAGTGCCTAGCGATGATGAGTCTTTGCAGTGGGATGAATCCGAGAATAAGAACATTTTCTATTTGATGACCGCCCCTCGGGAGGTTCAGGAGCAGGCAGGCAAGGAACGCTTGCAACGCGCAACCACAAGTCCAGCCCTTAAGGCAGTAGACTCGACTACAAACAAGAATTTGAATCGTACAAGCTCTGCAGAGCGCAATGAAAAACTTAGCCCATTACTCTGGCGTCGCTGTCGCTCCTATCCATTGGAGATGCTCACACAGATCGCGTCCCTAGAGGAAAAAGAAGCCTTACATGCCATGTCTCCAATGTCGCCCATTTCGCCAAACACCTCGCCTCCTCCTACGCCACCCGTTGCACCACCCTTGCCCCCAGCCAATCCGACTGAGAGTTACAGACAACGCAGTGTGGCGAGCAAAATCGAAATAAAGCAGCGCATGGCACCCGGCCACGTGTTGGCCAAGACCAAAGCGAGAAGTGCCACCAACTCAAATGGGAATACGCGACAACCCAGCAGGGTCATCAGCAGAGGGGCAATGACTATGGTCACACCTATGAGTCAGCGACCCTCGCATTCAGAGCGCCACAGCGCAACCTATGGAGCACATGGCCATGCCTCCCACACCAAGATGCAGACGCCATCGAACAACGCGATGAATAACGCCAAGCGGCGGCTCACCTACGATCCACGTGCCTCGATTAAACGCAACAACATGCAGCAAAAGAAGAGCAACACCAACAATGCTCCGAACAACAACAGTGGATCTCATAGTGCTGTCGCGAAGGCTTCCAACACAACTACCACATCCAAGATCATGCTGAAGCGCAGGCAGCCCGATGAGCTGCACAAGGCCCGCTCCCAGATCTCATATCGCAGCTCGGCACCCACACATGCCATGCCCAAAAAGAGCATCGGGGATGCCGCTGCCGCCTCCTCCACAGAGAACTTGGTAGAGTTCCGCACCAATCCACGACTGAACGCGCACGGCTCTCGCAATGTGGAGCTGCTGAAGCGTCGCATGATGGGCGATATGGAGCTGCATCAGCGTCGACGCTTTCAGCAACTGGTCACAGAGCAAATGGAACAGCACCGGCGCATGCAGGCCGAGTTCGAGGCACAACAGCAGCATTTGATCGATCAGCTGCTCTCTGACATGGCCAGCTATGCCAAGTGCATTGGGAAAGGGCCGGATCGTGGGTTGGAGAGTGAAGAGCGCGGACAGCATAACAGAATTCGGGCACCCGCAGAATCGGTGTCAGGCACCACCCTCAGCTCGTCCAGCTCGTTTCCCATGCTGCTGCACAGAGCCGAGTGTCTGGATGAGGATAGCGATGAGCGTGAGGCCGAAGCCGAAATCGAGGCAGCTGTGCAGTGCGGATCACAAGATCTTGAGCACTTGACACGCGGCAGGCGGATGGAGAGACGCGGCTTTACAACGGACAGTGAAAACATATAATTACAATACCTTTGTTTAGATAATTTTTTTGTTTATTTCAAATTTCAATAAAATGGGTCTAAGCCACGAGTTACTTACCACCTTGGGATCCTTTGGATATCCTTCAAACGCACGTACGAATTGTAAAAAGCAAATAACTTACAAACTAGCTTCAGTGTTGGAAATAAATTTGGCTCTTCGCCTACCAATTCCAACACTGGCTAATGGTTATCGATATTCAGACTAGTTGCACTTCACTAATTAATTGCACTCTAATTTTAGTTATCTGTCATTGCAAGTGCGTAGTCCTCCGACTTCTTCAAATTACTAGTTATGAAGTTATTTCAGTTAGATTGCGAGTGCTGAGGAGTGCAGTTTATTGGCTATTTATCATATTTATTTGAGTCTTTATAAATGTTTCTCCAGAACCTATGTGAACGCTAGCATTTCAATAAAATTTCATTTAATATTTTTCTTTTGAATTTTGTTCTCTTATTTGGAATTAATATAATTAAATTAAGAGGGAAAATATGAATTTGAAAGTTAAATTAAATGAAAGTTAAGTTAAAAGAGACGTTTATTATATATTTTTCAAATTAAATATCAAGATTCAAAATTGTTCATAATATTTATAAAATAATAAAACTACAACGTGGAACTAAATACAGTTCCATTATAATAAAATGCGAAGATGTTAAACAATCAGCAATCAGAAATTATAAAATTAATATAAAAATGTAATTCAATAATGTGAACAATGCCAAAAATTCAAAATAATGCTACTTAAAATTGAAATAAAATAAAAGATCAAAATTATCATTTTACAACTGCCTTACATAATTAGATTTATGCTGTTACTACAAGAAGTGGACATCGGCTGTTCGTGATTGTTTTTCCGTTTTAGTCGAAGATTCGTAAAGAAACACACGATATAATGAACATAAAATTCGGAAAACTCGTAATAATATTCAAAATTTCTACACAAAAATATATACATTTTTGTAAACAAACAGACATACAAAACAATTGATTTTGTCAAAACCAAAGCCAGCCCCTTATATTATTCTGATTAAAAGAATCGCAGTACATGCTATATTTGCCCCATTGGTGCATTAAGTCGAACAACTCTCACAGGCCTTACAAAATTAATGTTGTTGAAAAATATTCTACGAAGTAACGCTATAATTATTTTGATTAAAAACAGGTAAAAAAAAAAGGTAATTAAAAATGTCAGCCAAAGGTGATTTTTCAACTCTGAATTAAACGAAACGAAAGTACAAACTTTAACAACAGGATATATGTAATTCCACATATGTATGAACAACAAATAAAGACTACGATTCTCAACAAATACACATGTCTTCTATCAACATATGAAAATACAAGTGAGTCTAGAGATTAAGTTTAACCGAAGCTTCCATCTTAACTCGAGCGTCTTTTTCAAAGCCAGTTTCATGGTCGTGCCTGTCTATCTCTAACCACGACAATACTAGTACGACGATACAAAAATTGATAAAAATGAGTATAAAAATGGAATGTCTAATTGAAGTTCAAATATCAACAACAAAAATGAACATATACTATTGTTACTGGACTTGCTTTTCGTCCATTGTTTCAAATATAACCACGGCTCATAATTAATATTATTAGTTTGGTATTTCTCTATGAAACCACAGAGGGGTAGATTAAAATGTGGGCAGCTGGATCTTTCAATTGAAAGCTAATAATAAATGTGTGTCAGATTATATCAGTATATCATATCTAGACTCGGGATGTCTCTCAGAGCCCTCGGCACATAAATTATCACGCAATAAATGCGGCTAATCAAAATGTCGCACATTCGCGGGCTGATTGGCTCGCCCAGGCCGTTGCCAGCCTGCTGCCAAATATAGAGCGTACCGTTCCGTTTCTAATTATGCACGACGCTGTCGTCTGATGGTCGTGCCACACAAGTTGCCCAGCAGCGGTCCACAATACTCGCACCACTCGCACCACTCGCACCACCCGCACCACCTGCCCGCCCCAGCAGACAACAGGCAACTTGCAACAGGCAGCGCCAACACATTGATGTCTCTATAGAGTAGAGGAGTGCGTGAATCGCGACCGTTTCACTTGGCGCGCCCATAACTTGGCGTGTTATTAAGTGTAAAAAATTAAAATTTCATAAATTGTTATGCTTTATTTAGAGCAGTGCCTCTTCATTTCCATTCCGATTCCCAGTCTGCCAGTTGCCTGTTGCCTTTTTGCCAGTTGCCGTCTATATAGCCGCACTGTGCCGTTAATTGCGTCCCGGTTTTCATTTTATTTTTTCTGCAATCTGCGCCTATCGCTGCGTGTGGCGGCCCCAGTTCTCAGTTCTTCGTCTGTGATTTGCACATTTCGGAAACTTACGATATTGAGTTTTAAGTGGACATAATTAAAAGCACTTAAGTCGCCCGGTAGCGTACACCATTGGACCCCAGCCAAGTTGCAGATGCAAAATTGGCAGATAGTTTTGCATCGTAGCCTGCTAGTCTAGGCCAATTTTGGGTTGATAGCACCTATTATAGAGCAAGATTAATAATCACAGACCAACGAAGCAATTAGACGAATCCAAGAGAAGTATAATAAACGCATCAAGAATATTCAAAGAATACTTAATATTAGACGTTTATCATATTGTAACTGTGACTAAAAAACAGGGAATGATAATATTTGTAGTAATTGGATAGTTTATAACTTATGGATGGATGTGAAAAGTAAAAATCTTCTTGAGTAAATTTACCCGGAGTCATTTATTTCTAGTTTTTCTTTTGATATCAACCCCAAAAGAAATATAATTGTAGATTTCTAGATCTGATTAAAGTTTTAAAGCCGACTTCACGTAAAATAGGAGAAATTTTCAGGGTTTCGATCGAATATAAAAAAATTGTTGATGAACTATATTTGTATTATTTAGATAAATAAGTGTCTGTTCTGAAAGCAAAAATACATCAATGCTATTATCTAAATAAAAATAAAATAAATAAATTTTTCTGACATTCATCTAAGAATCAAAATGAGCTGACAAGTGCCCCAAAATTATAAGTATTTAATTGAAATGTTACTTTAAATTAGTTGTATATATTACATATATGTATATTATATATGTATATATCTTACCATCAAAAAGAGCTGACAAGTGGACAGCCCAGACGGCGAGAAGTGCCCTTAAATTCTATTTAATTTCAATTTTGCTTTAAATTAGTTGTATATATTATCTTTCATTTTATGAAAATTCGATGCTAATTTAAATTTGTTGTATCAAATAACTCCGACAATGAATTCGAAAAATGTAGCATAAGTTGGCAGCACCAAATATTATTTAGACAACACAATTCAAACATTTGTAGCACCAGAAAGACTTCTTAAATGCAGGGGGAAAAACGATTGGTTGTATTTTCAAAGATAAAATCTACAGCTGCAACCTTTAAGCAACAAATTAAGTTGTTTACTTAGTAATACTTATTTGAGTGCCGCTGCAAAGTAGACCTGCCAACTTATATCAAAGTTGAAAACAGATTTGTGATTCAAGGTTCTTTCCAGCCAAATAAATCAAACAACCAACGCATTCATAAATATACAAGTATGTACATATTTCCAAGTACGAGTAGTTTCGCGCCTAATCTCATGTTTTTTCACTTGGCTAATCACATAAACTTTTTCCACAGTGGGAATTACTTTTCGCTTCGTCTACGCAGAATTCACTTTTCTTCGCATACTCACTAGTATTAAATGAAGTGCACATGAAGCCTGGAATTAGAATTTTATGACTAAAATAAACATAATCAAAGTAATAACAGGCATGCCTTACCAAAGGCATCTCCACCCATTGACCCCCTCTCCAACCTCTCACATGTGAAATTAATCTTGTTTATGTTGCCAGCAACCAAAAACTCGTGTCAAAAGTTTGCGCCAAGTTTGCGCCTTTTCAGTTCACTCGCAACTTTTGTGGCTTGAAAGGAAAGTTCAGTACAGATGCGGCAAGGGGTGTTGGGGAGAAACACAAATAAAATTCAGTGATTTTACTTTTTAGGTAGTTTTGCTTGATAGTTTTGTGCGTGCTCGAAATTGAATCATATATTTGCAAGCGTTTTAAAACGCGCGCATAACGCGTATGCAAATTTATGAACGCATGTGTGTCTACTTGGGGGTGTAGTGCTGCCAATTCTATTTACATGTGGGCTGCTGAAGGTGTTCAATATATGCGCGACAACCCTTGATGGCGCTTTGATAGCTAAGCCAGTGCCCATCAAACAGTGAGTCAGAATTGTATTTGATCGGCCAACATTTTTATAAAAAATTTAGTTCGAAGAAGGCTTTGATTAAACATAGTTTTTGAAATACCGTTACTAGAGTAAAGCTTTATAGTTCTAATTTAATCTAACAAGTTCCTTTGAAAAACATGTTTTCAACTTTAAAACAATATTCTAAAATCTTAGCTTTATATATTACTTTTGAGGCATAGGAGATAGAATATTTTAATTTATTTTCTCGTAATTAATAAATTCAAATTAAAACACATTTTTAAAAATACATAGATAGGAATATATTATTTATGTAGCATTTCCGCAAAGGCCAATAATAAATTAATAATATAAATAATATGATTATTATTTAAGGTAAAGATAGGTTTTAGGTAGAGGTAAGGATTGTCGTATTTTTTACGATTTTTAAAAAATAAATTCAGATTGTAATAAAGATTTTTAAATAGTTCTTCCATTAAATATCATATTGAGGGGCACTTAGTTCTTCAAGAATAAAAAGTTTTGATTGTTTATTGCGGTTCGTTTGTATGTTCTACCTATTTTAATAAGAATAAGATCTCAACATATCACCTACTTATTCACATATCTTATAGCTTCATATATTTTATGATCGACTCCATATGCATGCTTTAAAACTTAAGCATAACTTTAACTTTCTAGCATTAGCTATCATATTTGAGTTATTCAGGGCGATTGAAAATTGGTTCAATTGCTTCTATAAAATAGCTGTGGAACCACTGTGCTTCGTCTTCTACCGGGGTTGGTGCATAATCTGCTTACTTTGCCAGCTACATGAGTGAAAAGTTCTGTCTG